GTTGTCCTCTTGTATAATGTTCTCCGTTGGATCATCGCTCGACCACTTTCATTGTAGGTAAGGAAAAGGAGAGATAGTGATATAGTGACATAGTGATAGAGATATAGAGATATAGTGATATAGTGATAGTGATATAGTGATAGAGATATAGTGATAGAGATATAGTGATAGAGATATAGTGATAGAGATATAGTGATAGAGATATAGTGATAGAGATATAGTGATAGTGATAGAGATATAGTGATAGATATATAGATATAGATATATAGTGATATAGTGATAGATATATTGATAGTGAAATAGTGAGAGAGAGAGAGAGAGAGAGAGAGAGAGAGAGAGAGAGAGAGAGAGAGAGAGAGAGAGAGAGAGAGAGAGAGAGAGAGAGAGAGCGAGAGCGTGCCTGTGCATGTGTGTGTGTGTGTGTGTGTGTGTGCGTGTGTGCGGTGTGTGTTTTGTATCTATTTTGTTGCGGTTAGTTGTTGAAATGTTTTTATTTTATTTTATTCATATCCCTTCACTGCCATGTTCCGTTAGTTTTCATTCGGAAGTAACTTTTAACCTTAGTTTTGTATTCTAGGAGTAACTGCTATAAAATGCAATCCCTTTGGTAATCATAAATGCTTTGAGAATGCAACCATAGTCTATTTGTTCCCGTATTTTTATTTTTTTTATATTATTGTTATATTTGTAATTGTATTGTCCATTATTATTGTTTTTCATTTACTCATGAGTGCATACGTACAGTTTTTTAAAAATGTTCTGTATGTTTACCAAAGTTCACTAATGAGTGGTTGTAAATTAACACTGTTGCCAGATATTGATATGAGCTCTTCATTTTAATTCCCTAGTCAACTATTAGCATTAGCGAAACTATCTGGATTTAGGTGTACACTCAGCCCCCGCTTTCCATTATGGCGGTGAATGATTTTAAAAGTTTTCGTGTTGTTTTTTCTCTCTCGTTCTTTAGATTATGGAATATATAATTTTGGATCTACAGTTGTGTCAGTGTGTTTTTTTTTTTTTTTTTTACTGATGATGGGAATTGTTTTTTTTTCTAAGATGGTGTCCGGAAGTAAAAATAAAATGTTTTATCTTCGTAACGTTGTGGCGTAAGGTTAGGTTTTCACTGTTTCGCCAACGTTTTTTTTTTTCCTTATTTGCGTTCTAATTTTTCTTTCTTTCGCTCGTTTCAGGTGAAGCGGTGGTAGTTTCGAGAGTTTTAACCACAGCGGTTTGATTGTGGTAGTACCAGATCTTGCGGTAGGTGTGGGTTCGTTTCTCATTCCTCTTATTGGCGTGTAATTATTTAAAAAAAAACCCTCGCAGAGCCAATGAGAGATGGGGGCTTCTCAGTTCCAGATGTATATTGGCCTATATATTTTTTTGCTTTAAGGAAAGAGTATGCGATAGCCAGCGCGGTCCTCTCAACGTGCGTCTCCTTCCCTTGCAGTAAGTCGTTTCCAGCCACGGGAGTGCATGGACAAGCCCCCGGGACTCGTAGGGACTGAGCGAAGCTTCCCAGTCCCCCAGACAGGGCCGGCAGCCATGCTAGCCAGCAATAAGCGCCCGCGATTAGACAACATCCGGCCACCAATACCCAATGGGCCCGGCATGCACGCCCGCCCGCTGGTGGCCCTCCTTGACGGGCGTGACTGCGCCGTCGAGATGCCCATCCTCAAGGATGTGGCCACGGTGGCCTTCTGCGACGCCCAGTCGACCTCCGAAATACACGAGAAGGTAGGCACGGGAGGGGCCGGTTTGCATTTGATGTTGGATTCTTATCCTATATAACTGTGCATGTGCTTATACCTCTTTGGATATTTATAGAATCAAATAATTGATATGCGTGAGTGGCTTTTTGCTGCAGTAATTACCCGACGAAAACAACGTCACGCATCCCTTCGCATCCCTCGCGCATCCCTCATTCATCTCTCTAACTCACCTCCTCCTCCTCGTCTTTGACTCACCCGTGCATCTTGCGTCGCCCGCAGGTCCTAAACGAGGCGGTCGGGGCTCTCATGTGGCACACCATCACACTCACCAAAGACGACCTTGAGAAGTTCAAGGCGCTCAAGGTGATCGTCCGGATCGGTAGCGGGATCGATAATGTGGATGTTAAGGTAGGTTGGGATAGGGTTTGAAAAGTTTCCTCTCTCTCGTTCCGCTCTCTCTCTTTCTCTTTTCGCTGTCTTTCTTTCTCTTCTCTCTCTCTCTCTTCTCTTCTCTCTCTCTCTCTTCTTTCTCTCTCTCTCCTCTCTCTCTCTCTCCTCTCTCTCTCTCTCTCTCTCTCTCTCTCTCTCTCTCTCTCTCTCTCTCTCTCTCCTCTCTCTCTCTCTCTTCTATCTCTCTCTCTCTCTCTCTTTCTCTCTCTCTTTCTCTCTCTATCTATCTATTTATTTATCTCTATCTATGTGTATGCACAATACACACCACACACGTGCAAAAACACACCACACCACACACAACACACACACACACACACACACACACACACACACACACACACACACAACACACTCTCTCACTCACACACATCACTCTCACTTTCTCACTTCACTCTCACTCTCTCTCTCTTCTCTCTCTCTTCTCTCTCTCTCACTCTCTCTCACTCTCACACTCTCTCACTCTCTCTCACTCTCCACTCTCACTCTCACTCTCACTCTCACTCTCACTCTCTCTCTCTCTCTCTCTCTCTCTCTCTCTCTCTCTCTCTCTCTCTCTCTCTCTCTCTCTCTCTCTCTCTCTCTCTCGTTGTGTATTCCTAATTTTTTTTCATTAGTCTCCTTTTCCTCTTGTCTTCTTGTTTTCTTTGATTCTTTTTTTCTCTCTTTTTCCTATACGTTTTTTCTGTAATTAGATTATTGATTCTCAAACTTATTGTATGTTATGCAAGGTCATATGGTGTGTAGTTATTAAAAGACAAAACGAAGAAAGAATAAATGAAAACCGTTGTACAGTGGAATTATACACAGAGTGGCTGTGTATCCCAAGAACACGTCAAAACTTTTGAGAAAAGAAACAACCCGGGTAGAAGAAGAAAATCACAAAGTTCTTCCCCAAACTTTTTAAAATGCAGATGCTGGAGAGATCTGGATGGTTGAGATCTGCATTAATGTGAAATAACTTATGATGGAGACAGCCTTTTACTGCTTATTATAGCCTCTCAATTTTCATTGTAAACTTGCCCAACTTGTGTTAAAAGTTTTAATGTCTCAACTTTTGGAAGTTATAAAACTTGTTTCACAGGAAACAAAAAGTTGAAAGTTAGACTCACGGTTAACTTGAAAAATTTCTGGACTTGACGAAAGTTAGCACATTATGGAGCCGTCGATGAGATTATATCTTGGATGTACAAGTAAAGTTGCTTGTATGATATTGTGTAAGCTAGCATTAACCTTTAAAACTGAGTCCATCTTAAGACGATAAATGGTTATGTCTGTCTTTGTTATTAAAAAAAAAAATGTTTAGTTGGGTGCAATGAGGCTTGTCTCCTGTCTCTTACTTATTTCTTTTTATGAACATCTCAAAGAAGTTTGGAAAGCTTTGCCAAAGTTAAAACTTTTGCTTTAGACTTGATAACTCAGTAAGTTGATTGCTGGATTCTTCCAATAGCAGAGTTTTGAGATAGTTAGAATTATTCTCTCATGATTGGTTCCACAGTTAAAGTTTTTTTTACCCCCCAACCCGGAGTTCTTTTTAAAGTTTGATGAGGTCTGGACAAAGGAGAAAAGTTTGTGATAGCATTGAGAGAACCCAAGGGTTTGCAATTAGCCCAACTCTTGGCAACTTGCCATCAGTATTGGTATTCAGAACTTTGGGTAGTGTTCATATTAAACTTTTCATGCGCGTCTTTTTTATCTAGTTTAGCTCCCATTTCGGGGGTTGACCAGCTGGTTAGCATACTTTCCATTTCAGGATCTGAGATGGAGATAAAACACCTAAAAGCAGTGAACCATTTTGCAGTTAGATTCAGGTATTCATTGCATAATAAAAGTTCAAGTAGCTTATTGTAAAGATTAAAAGTTTATTAGTTGATGAACATGTAGTTTGTCCAGAATAAAGGAAGTTGCATTTGTCTGAAAGGCAACTCCAGAGGGTGATTATTAGAATAAACAAAACAGGCAAAATTTGTCCAGGATAAGTTTGTCTTTATAGTTATTAGGTTTTTTATTAGACTAATGTAGTTGGCATATAGACCTGTAACAGGACAGTTCTTGTAGAATAACAAAATGTGTTTGATACAAGTTACATTCAGTTAACAACTTGAGCTACAGTCTATACTGTAGAGGAAGAGGTGTAAGTAGTTGCCAGACTATAGTCAAATTAATACAGTCTTTGGCACAAATGTTCTTTGGTTTTTCAAAATCCACCAGATGCCTTGGAAAATACTCTGAAGATACTCATTACTCTTTTGCCCTTTTTAACAGGCTGCAGGAGAGCTGGGCATCGCAGTGTGCAACGTACCAGGTTACGGAGTAGAGGAGGTTGCCGACACCACCATGTGCCTCATTCTAAACCTATATCGTCGCACATACTGGTTGGCCAACATGGTCCGCGAGGGGAAGAAATTTACGGGTCCCGAGCAGGTGTGGGAGGTGTGATAATAGATTAACCACAGTGTTTATGCGCCATACACAAAAATTCTTCTGCCCTGAGTATTTTCCCATGAATAATTGGAAAATATTGTGTGTGTTGAACACTTGTTTATGGCCCATAATCACTGTTCATTCCACAAAACCAAAAAAAAAAAAAAAAAAAAAAAAAAAAAAAAAAAAAGTGTTAGGTGATGAGGTAGCTACTTAATTTCTAATTCTAAGGGTGATTGTCAGTTGTAACTTTAACAGTGCAGTATTTTGGATAGGTTAGGAAAAGAATTAGCCTATAAGAGAGAGACACTGTTGATCGTGGCCATAAATATTAAAATACCTAAAACCGTATGGCCAAAAGGTAGCACGTATGGTTAACATATTTACTTAAACCATCATAGAGCTTGGTATTTCAATTTATTGTATTTCAACCAGGTTCGAGAGGCAGCCCAAGGATGTGCTCGGATACGTGAAGACACACTGGGAATAGTTGGTCTTGGTGAGTTGGCCTCTTTACAAGGAGTAATAATAATATATACCTTTAAGATATGTACATATATTTCATGTTTTTGTGGATACGATGTCCTACATTCACCGCTCTCAGTAAATGGACTGTTTAACAACACAGGTCGCATTGGGTCTGCTGTGGCGCTAAGAGCAAAAGCTTTTGGTTTCAACGTCACATTTTACGATCCCTACCTCTCAGACGGGATCGAGAAGAGTCTGGGCTTAGCACGAGTATACACACTACAGGTTTGTGTCAGGATTTGCAAGTTTAGTATGATCTTTCACTCTCAGTACATGAGTAAAGAATAAGCAAGAATGTCAAGTGTTGTATATATGTCAAGTGTTGTTTATATGTAAAGGGTATGTGATATGCTATAAAAGCAATAAAAAGAAGATAAAAACATTAGTGTTTACTAAATCTAGCTTTACTAGTCATTGCATTATTTTCATGAGCTTTACAGTCATGGTTCTTTCATAGTGTTTGTAGTTAGAATTAAGATTATCTATATCATCTCTTTGATAGTCATATTAGTGATGACTTGGCTTTTTCTAATTTCTCCAGATTTTTCCCACTGCAGTAATGTATGTTTAAGTTACTTGAAAAGTTTATACTTTAATAAACCCAATTTTACATTTCAGGATCTGTTGTACCGAAGTGACTGTGTGTCTTTACACTGCTCCCTCAATGAGCATAATAACCACCTCATAAATGACTTCACAATTAAGCAGGTGAGCAAGTGTGTTTTCTTTCTTTTTTCACAATTCTCATTCATATATATTTCCAGATGTCTTACAGTAAGAGTACAAGTTTTGTAACAGCCTTTGTATAGCAGGATGTGTTTGTGTATATACAGGAAAGGGAAATAGCTTGATGGTATAGTGATGACAAAGGCCCAGACAGGGTTGAGTCAGGAAACCCTCTTTTGGAAACCCTGTAGTCGTCAGGAAACCAACTAATGGTGAATTGTTTCAAAGTGGAGTTTGGGAATACGTTCTAAAGTTTGTTAATCATTCCTGAGGGTTACTGTTCCTACCTTAAATTAAAATTTCAGATACAAAATGATTAAGGGAGCTTAGTATGGAAGTTTAATAATCTTTCTTTGCATTGCACTGTATGCCCTGTACAAGTACTTTGTCTAATGGAAAAGGAAGTTAATTATTTTTCATAAATTTGTGGAAGTTTGATTAGAATCTGCAAGTTACCATAATTTAAAGAGAATTTAAACATTTTGAGGCTAGCAGTCAAAAGTGCAAGAGCAACAACTTAGGAAAAAGTATTCTGTTCATATATACTCCATAAAAAGAGGATGCAAGGGAGAAAAAAACATTAAGGAATGAAAACAAAAATCAAGAGAGATCTGAGGATTAAGAAAAAAGATGTTACAGCTTTCTGCAATACTGAAATGTGTAGCAAGAGAGCTTAGGATTTTCTTTGTGATTTTTTTCTTCCTGTCTCGAGGAAGTGATGAGAAAATGACATTTTTATGCTTATGTGTTAGGATGAAAGGAATTCTGATTCTTTTGACATTCTGATGCTACTACAGGAATAGACATTGTAGCTTCCTTTAAGCAGATTGATATTGAAAGTGTTTAGTATGTCGTGTGTATATAACAGGATTTCCTTTATTTATTTATTAAATTTTTTTCTTTGTGGGTGTAAATGTATGAAGTCATTGTCATTTCTAGTACTCAAGGAGAAATAAAGTGTGCTAATGCATATCAGGCACTATTTCTTAATCATTGTTGAATTGCCTTCAGTCTAATCTTTTAAATGTAAAATTTTGAAATGGTCATCAGTGGTTAATCATGACTTATTTATACTAAGAAAATGACTGCAGAAACAAAATGAGAAATCTTAGTTTTTTTCTATACATCAAGTTATTGTAGTATGGTTTGAAGAGTTGGATGTCAGATGCCAATAGTGAAATACCAGGATTGCTTTGAAGTGGGCAAAATAGTGTCTATCATTATTTATGGAAGAATTTTCTGAAGTATAGTAGGAAGGAAGGTTTTAATAATTCATTCCACTGTTTTCTCTGCTTTCCTTTCTCTACTTATTTTTCCTTATTATTTTTGCTTTCATCCCTTCTTATTTCAACTACTATTTTTATAGTCCCGTGAACATTTAATTATTAATTCGCAGTAAACGAACCTTCAATGCTGGATCGTTGTAATTTTCTCTATGACTTGTTGTTCGAGGTAAATTCATCCTAAGTTCTTTCTTCCTTCTACATCCAGATGCGGCCGGGGGCTTTCCTGGTAAACACTGCTCGAGGGGCATTGGTGGATGAGAATGCCTTGGCTGCAGCTCTAAAGGAAGGCAGAATCAGAGCCGCAGCACTTGACGTTCACGAGAATGAGCCATACAACCCATTCCAGGGTATGCATGCTGTGCCGTTTTGTTTATTTGTTTGTGTCTTTTTGTTTTCGTTTTGCTGTCTTGACGCAGATTGTCCATGGGTGTTCACTCTCAGGGTTATGTTGTTATAATTTACTAATTCATTATTTTTAGTTCATGTTTGTATTTTTATGGTTATTTTAATTAGTTACTATTATTAATGACTGATATTAATTACTCTTATTATTGATCATTTGGATTAACATTATTTTTTTAATAGATATTATTAACAATGGTAATAATGATAATAAAAATTGTAATGATAATGACAGTAATAATAAATGAAAAAGATGATTATAAATGATGATGATAATAATAGATAATTATGATAATAGATAAGAATGATATTAATAGTGATGATGATAATAATGATAATAGCAATAATGATATTAATAATGATGATGAGGATAACAACAACAATAATAGTAAAAATTTATGTATACTGATGGTAAACATAAAGGAGAATGACTAATGATAATGATTGGTTTATTATTATTATTATTGTTCTCATCTTTTCTTATTATGTTCTTGGTATTACTAACAATGTTATTATTATTGATTGTATTGTTATTATCATTACTAGTTACTATTATTGTTTATATTTTCTATTTGTTATTATTGAAATTGCGTTTTTTTTCTAATACAGGTTTGGATGTTGAATACAGTTTTTTAAAGTTCATTTATAAAGAGGTGATCAAACCTAAGTTTTGATTCACACTAGTAGTATGGGACTTGTAATTAATTTTATAGCAGTTAATGTAGAAAAGCCAACTTTCTCTTTGTATTGCAGGACCTCTCAAAGATGCACCAAACCTGATTTGCACTCCGCATGCAGCATATTACTCTGATGCATCTAGTAACGAGTTGCGAGAGATGGCTGCCAATGAGATTCGCCGTGCAATAATAGGCCGCATCCCAGAAACATTACGGAACTGCGTCAACAAGGAATATTTCGTGAACAACTATAGCGAAGGAGGCGTCAATGGCACCGTCCCATACTACGTCCCAGTTCACTCCACCACGCATGACTCTGTACCCCCACACTCAAGTGGACCCCCGCCCACAAGCCACGTCGGTGCAGGCATCCCTCCACCCCCACACTTGCCCCCCACTGTACCCGCAAGTGGAAGAACCTCGCCCCAGACTGGACCCCCTGGTCCGCCCGGTCCTCGAGAATCCACCTCACCATAACACAAACTTCCTTCACCAATTCAACTATCAACCCTCCGCTGTAAGTGTGATTGGCAAGCTTCCTCCTTTTATATATTTATTGTATCTTTTAGAATTTGGAAACTATCTAATAAGTATAATGAGAGTTGTATTTTGGTGTAAATGTGATTATTAAAACACACTTTTTTTTTATCTCCTTCAGGTGACCACAAGTCAAGAGTCATTCCACCATGAAAGCTGAGTCGAAGTAATTACAGGTGGCTGCTACTAAACACTGGGTTATTACTCAGAAATCGTGCAAAGTCTATGTACAAATTTGCCTATTGTTCCTTGATGTTAGAAGGACCAAGTCCCCCTCACCTCAAAAAAGTGCAATGGACGCTGGGGAAGAGGTGAAAGTGAGAGGGTGCGAAGCATTGTGTGTATGTGTGATCTAAAGTGAAGATGCTTGTGGAGGTTATTGCCTGAATTACGGCACTGCATTTTTGGTTATTGTATTTTTATGTTAACTATTTTTTACTCTTTGCAGTTAGTGTAAGGAGGGACTGTATTACATTACTACAGGCCATCCCTAGGTAAAAGAAAGGCAGATATTGTAACTCAGGTTCTTATCCTCTGTCATGTATGCAAAAAAGTATTCAGTCCTAAGATGGAGAGATCCTAGGTCATAGAATTTCCTTTTGGGAACATTTTTAACATTCTGTGACCCTACTTACCAAAAAAAAAAAGAAAAAAAAAAAACAAAAAAACTAAAATTTGAGATATCAGGTAGGAATTACACTCAAACTTGCAGTATTATATTACTTACATTATTTTCAAAGACAGAAAAATTGAAAATTTCATTTATTTTATTTTTTTATTTTATTTTGTCTCTATACAGAGGTCATATTTTATACCTGTAGGGTTTCCTCCTCACACAAAACAGGTTTTCCTTGCATGATAAGTCAGACTTGTCAAACTATGTAAATCAAATTGTTTACAGCTGTAACTCTTTAGTCTTGTATTTTTTTCTTACTTTAGAAAGTAAAGGATAAGTTTAAATGCAAATGTAAATTTCTTTTGAAGTGTGGTTACGGTTTCCCTACTCAGAGATTTTGATTGTCTGTTTAAATGCTTACTAAGCCAAATCTTATTCAAATTGTGCTACATTATTACTCAAAATTCCAGGAGCACATAAATTCATACACCATCAGTAAACTCATATAAGCTCATTTGAAGAGCAAGTCCAAACAACACGTCTCCATTGCCTATTCTAAATGTAGAAAAATAAACAAACATTCATTTGTTTCAGCTTGGCAGGTCATCCATCTTGTTTACAGTTGTGAATTATGAAAATGAAGTCTTGCTATGTAAGACATTAGTGTTTACCAAGAACTGAATGGCTTGGGATTCTCATAGTGAAAATAGATGTGAAGCAGTATTGCACCAGTGGTAAGGGAGGAGTAAGCTAATTTGGTATCATTGTGCATTATAAGAAACTTAGCATCCAACATCATTGTTTGCGTTACAGCTGTTGCAACTAACAAAAAAGTAAATAAAAGGAGAGAGAAAAAATTCTTTTTGACATCTACAGAGGGAGGTCTCACATTTTGAACCATAGTTTTGAAAGCATTTGAGTAACAGACATCCTCAAATTTAACAATCTGGCATTAGTCTGCGGGAAAGCCTTATAATCAAATACAAGACTTTGTACATAGTTACTGTAAAATATTCATAAGTGAAGATAAAATCCACAGGTAACATGGGGATGTATCCATCTTCATCAAATACTCAAATACCTGTTTTCAATAGTTAACCAGAATACCAGAACCAAGTGCAGTAAAATGAGTGCTTCAGATGTGACTGCTTGAGAGTTGCACATTTTTAGGAATTTTTAGTGCCACTCCAAGGCAGTGTTGTTTGACTCTGGTACAAGGGAGACCAGTTTATATCATGAGGAAGAAAGAAACAAAAAAAGAATGATTGTTATGATTCATAGAAGTCATGTTCCTAAATGAACTGCACTTAATTATTGTGCAGTTGTAAAGTTTTTTGTAAAACCCGTAGCCAAGTGCATCGTAGTTATCAATAAAAGACACAATGGTTGTCGTCTTATTAATTAAAATCCTGTTTGTATGAATTCATGCAAGTACAGCACAATACTTTGATCTCTTCCTTTTTTTTTTTTCTTAATTTATTCATTTCTTTAGTGACAGGTAATTCTTGTACCAGAGGTATAGAAAATGCAAACATGGTGTTTATCTATTATAGTTCTTTCAGTACCGGAAATAAACTGTTAACTATCAGCAACTCTGCAAAAGTCAGGTGTCCCCCAATGTTAAAAATGCAACAAGATTCTAACCAGCTAAAAAGCATGTTTCACAGGCCAAATTTACGAGCAATGCTGATAGGACTTACATGACTGACCTAAATGAAAATAAAATATGCTTTTCATCGGTGTCCTTGTAATAGCAAGTGAAAAAGCAGGACTTTGAAGTAAAAACAAAAAGCAAAAATTCATCTGATATTTAAAAGGGGATCCATTATGTTTCTTAATCTCTCTAAAATTCCTGCTCTTTTGCTGATTTCTTACATGCCATCTGCGGCTTACTGCAACTCAGCTGTTCTGAAACAAATTTTCTAGTTAAGATGTAGGAAGGAAGTTGAAGATATGATCTTCCACCTTATTTGAGAATAAATTTTTTGAAATAAAACTTTCTTTTTATTACATTTGAGGTGAATGAAACAATACAATCTAAACTTGTCCTCTCTTTAATGCAGAATATAGATTGGAAACAATAAATTTGCTGTTTCATCTACATTGGGAAAAACAGCAATCTTTCCTAAACTAAAATAATTAACAATTTGGACACTGGCTGCTTGTAAATATATATACACAAAATAAGACAATATTATCTGAATGGAAGATGCCATAAAACAACCCTGTAATATGTCATCTTCAGTCCTATTTATTTAACATAAAAGAGGTGGATTTATCTCAAGGATTAACATGTGAACATTGACATTACTTATACATGATGTAACTAACTCACACTCCAGTCAAATAATAACCTGCTCAGCTTCACTGGAACCTGTTCAACAGGAATAATTCATACAATCCATAAAATAAATGTGAATCATTAAAAGTATACTTTTACCATATTTAAATGCAACACTTGCAGAAATGTTCCGAACCTCAACACAACTACTTAAAAAGAAGGAACAAAAAAAAAATGTATAATGATAATCCTTTTAGCAGCTTAACATGACAGAAGATTTACATGATGTCTGGATCCTACTAATTATTGTGCACCATAGGAAATAACAAACACATTAGTCAATCTCGTAAACATTGGTTTTCATGTGCGTCTCCATGGAATGTACCACTGGTGCTCCATCAGAAGTGCTGACAACTCCCAAAACCTGAAAAAGATCGAACATGATCATTACTACTTGGGGTGAGTGTGTATGCAGAATCTCGAGGAAGGGAGGGAGTGGACACGGTGAAAGTGGAAAGGGTAGAGGAAAAGGAAGGAAGGAAGGTTACAATAAGAGTAAGGAAGATTTAGATTGAAAGAGCTAAAAGGAGGGGAGAGGGAGAAAACACTTGAATACATAAAAAAAAAAAAAAATTACTTGGGTCTATCAATTAATTTTCTGTAATACAAGTGATTCTCCTTAAAAAAAAGTTAATGCCACAACTTTTTAAAATATTTATTTTAATATTTGACTTGATCCTGTGCATCCAGGTGTTGTAACCATCCTGTCACGAAAAACTTTGGCTTGAGGTTCAGGTGATGTGAACATGCTGTCATGAGAATTTTGGCTGAAGGCTAGGGTGATGGGAATGACTTGCCACTAGTGCATAAAGCTCTTGGAGGGTGATTAGACTCAGTGGGTATTTAGGAAGGAGTTTTCGCATCATTTCCATCAGTAAACGAGTGTTAAGTGTACCCTGCGTGAAAGAACGCCGGGTCCAGGGACGATGCAATTTCCTGCCTGCCATGACTGGTGGCACAGGGTATATTACAGAAAATTAAATAGAATGAAAATCTAAAAAAAGGATACAACATAATGTTACTTTTTGTTATTGCACAGATTTTTGGGCTACCTAAAGAGATGATATGGAAAGTGCAATCAAAACAGTCTACCGTTTTGATACAGCATATCAAATTACAAGTATTGATTGAAAAATGGCAAAAAAGCAAAAAAACACTTCTGCAGAATAAGATAAACAGGCAGCAAGGCACCTGGATCCAATAGGTTTAATCTTCCTTGACTGCGAGGCATAGGCTAGGGAGGGGTTTTCTAATTACTACTTTGAACAAGGGATAACAAGAAAGTGATCCAAAGGTAAACAATCTGGTGAAAATAAACATACAGTAATCCTATCATAAGCTTTACTATAGGACTTTTCACTTTCCACTTTCCCTGTCACTTACTACTTCACCAGATCTTATTTCCACTATAAAGCAGTTTATAGTCTTCAATCCAACATTGGTGGTTGTACTTTGGTGAGCTACAATACATAATGCTTAAGACCCTAAAACCTTAGAATTACCCCAAAATTTTAAAATCGACAATGCCTTGCAATATTCATTCTCCAAAGAAAATATTTATATTCAGCATTACTTTATGGTATGTTACAGTTTATATTATTTCTAGTTCCCACATAATTAGCTCCTGAAAATCCATTAAGAGTCTTAGGAATATCTAATTACCTTAGTGAAAAATTTACATTAATGCTAGTTTGAAATCCCACTTCAATAAGTAAATAAGTAAAGCCATTGTATGCATGATACACACGATGGATTGCAGTCAAGGCAAACAGCATTATAAGGCGACTAGTAATGACAGAATTGTCACTTTTCCATCAGAAAGTTTTGAAATGGAAAAGGGTTTTTCTTGCCGTCTACAATTTTGACCATGTATAATCTTTCAATAACAAGTTAGACTTAAAGCCTATTATGGAGAGCATTACCTACTAAGTTACCACAGTGAGTGGACTATTTAGCATGCACATCATAAATGCATGGCATGGATACTTATCAACCAGCATATGGCTTGCTGTATCTTGACATGAATAGGTACCAACCAATGTCAACAAGTTAAGAAACATTGAAGATTCAGTGCATAAATGCAAATGAAGTGTGATAAGCAATTGCTTACTCAATAACCCTACAGAAATAATCTAGATTACTATCTTAACTGTCACAAAACAATAAAGCATTGCAGCTTACTCTACCCATGATCCAATACATAACTGTCAGGAAGTAGGAGTAATTAGAACTGATGACTGAAAATACTGAGGTGGTATGAAAGTATGTAAATATGGTAACAGCTAAGGTAAAGAAAGGTCAACAAGGCTATCTCTTACTTCACAAGCTGTGAATAAGAACAGAGACAGACCCAAAATACTTTGAATAGTAATTAAAAGTACATATTCTGATAATGTAGTATCCAAATGTGTCAATTACATCTATTCAAATACCACTAAGTTACACCCACCTTGAGGTTGCAGTAAATCCGTGAGGAGTGGAAGGAGACGCGTACTGGGAAGAAGTTATCTGGAACACCTCTGGCTGTGAAGTCCATGGCAGCAGTTGGGGCAGTCTTATCAATAACAGGAATACGCCATACAAGTGAGCAGTGAGCGCGGTCATATTCATGCTCTCCTTCACAGTCATTGATGACTGGTGGAGGGGCACCGGAGGCAAGCGGAATGGTTATAGTAACCTCATTGAGTTCCATTTCAGTGTTCTCTAAGGTGTACTCGATGTTGACGTCACATCCTCCTGCACCGTTCTCCTGGGGCCAGCAGTTAACTGGGGATGATGGAATTTTGTATTACTCTTACTGACATGGCAAAAACTGAGTACAGCAACTAATAACTGAGCATTACCTGAAATACCTGCTTGAATATGGACAAACCCTCCAATTCCAAAGCAGATAATTTGTTCAAATATCAATATCTTAATGTTTATCAAGGCTGATGAGCAACTGGAAAAAAGGGCCACGGAAAAAGAAAACTTACTAGATAATGGCACTTGACTTTCATCTGTTGTCTGGAACCTCCACTTCAACACCCCCACATCTGTGTTTGGAGGGAAAGGCTTGTTTGACATCTTCATGCCTATTTGTCCGCAAGAGCGCCAAAGATCACGGTCTACATTGGGATGAGTCTGCAACTGAATGGGTCTGGTATCTGTATTGTCCACCTGAAAAGAAAAAAAATTAGCTAAGAAAAATAATAAAATATAATAATTAAATTAAACACAAATATACATTAATAAAATACATCTTGTCATAGGAGAACCTATGAAATTAGTCTAATGCTGAAAATCTGAAAGAATACCACTCTCCCTACCCATAAACTTATTTGTAAAACTACCATACAGTTTTTCTTTACACTGATTTTAGCAACATTTAGCACAAATATCAAGCAATGAATACTTTACAATATTTTCTGCATTGATTTCTGTGACAGAAAAGGGAAGGGGGGCATCTTACCTGTACTTTAATAAAGCCATGGTCGCTGTCTGTGATTCGGAGTTTGAGGATACCTTGGACTTCCATCGTCTGTAGGCCTCCATCCCTTCCAGCTCGCACCACCAAGTCCTCTGCCATGACAATGTGAACTCTGTGGGTTGAAAATATAAGTTAGGGCATCTTCTGCACAGATAAAGAAAAGTTAATAAAGTCTAATCCAAATCCATAGCAACTTGCACAAAAGCTGTGAGACACACTGCCAGACTATCAGTAAATCTGCTGTTTTACATGGAAGAATGGATATTTGTGTAGTGGCAATTAAGTCATCCTCTATGAAAATAAAGAAATAAACGAAAAAGGAAAACTTACGGCTCGACATCCACTTGAGGGGTAGACACCGGCTGCATCTTGGACACAGGCTCTGTTGCCGACACTACTCGCTCTCCCTCAGACTTCAGCTGGTCCACGAAGGAGTCCACATCCTTGGCCTTGCTTCCTAGCTTCATGGCGCGGTTTGGACCTGAAGCCTTCATGGGAGCAGGCCTGCTCTCCTGGAAAATGAAGGAATTGATATTATTTACTCTTACTTATTATCATCACTTTCTTTACCCTATTT